TGTGCACGTGACGATCTCAAAATTTACCTAGATGAAAAGAAAGTTGAAACACTACAGGAAGTAGCTGCTCTTTCTGATGACTACACCTTAATACATAAGACCACTTTTCATAAAAAGAAATTCCTACCATCTCAACAAAAACCTGTATCTGTTCAATCCACTAAAGTTGAGGATTCTTCTGAAAAATCCAGCTCTTCTGGTTCGAAATCTTTTGATAGTCAGGATAAAACTTTTTTAAAACAATCAAGGCCTATCTGCCTTTTTTGTAGAAAACCTGGCCATGTTATGTCCGATTGTTTGGTGTTTGAAAAAGAAAAAAGAAAAGGAGGCAACACCCAGTGCGTTTGTGTCCACATATGGACGTGGTTTCACCAGATCACCCGATGTTGTTGATTTGGCCACTAATATAAAGGCTGATGTAATCAGGGAGGAATTTAGACCTTTTGTGCCTGTTGATTCTGTGTCTTTCACAAATGACACTAGCAATTCTACGTAATACTGGGGCGACTCAGTCATTGTTGTTAGAAGGTATATTGCCTTTAGATTCGAGTTCTGTCACTGGTGAGTCTGTTATTGCTCAGGGTATTGAGGTGGCTTTGTTAATGTTTCTCTTCATAACATTTATTTAGCATCAGACTTAGTTTCGGGACCAGCTGTGGTTGGAGTAAAACCTACTCTGCCAATTAAGGATGTATCATTATTATTGGGAAACGATTTGGCTCGGGGAAAAGTTATTGCCGAACCTAAATGGTTAGTGAGCCGATCACTGTTTCATCTAAGGATGATGTTGTTGTTGAGAATAATTCCGATGGATGTTTCCCTCGTGTACTGTGACTCAATCTCAGGCTAAGAAATTAAGCCAAAAACAAATGATAGACATGGATTCATGGAACGATATTATAGATTTGTCTCAGACAATTTTTGGATCCGACAAGGATCTTGTGAGTAATTGTCCTACTGCTGATTCCTCGATGAGGAACAACGATGGACGTGAGGGATCTGATTTACCCAGTGAAGTTTCATTTACTAAAAGTAAACTGATCACTGACCAAGAAAAAGATCTGAAGATCTCTTCACTATTTAAATATGCATTCCCAAAAGATGAGCTGGATAAAGTTCCAAGTGGTTATTTTTTCAAAAACGGTGTGTTTATGAGGAAATGGAGACCACTAGATGTGCCAGCTTCGGAAGACTGGGCTATTGTTTATCAAATCGTTGTTCCCAAAGCATATCGTTCTGAAATATTGAAAGTTGCCCATGAACTCCCCATGGAAAGACATTTAGGTGTCAGTAAGACATGTGACAAAATTATGAGACATTTCTTTTGGCCAAAAATTAAGCAAGACGTTTCTCAGTTTTGTAAAACTTGTCATACCTGTAAGTTAGTCGGAAAATCTAACCAGAAAATTCCTGTTGCTCCTTTGAAACCTCTCCCAGCTTTGAAGAACGCAAGTTCCGTCCTGAGGACATGGTCTTAGTATTGTTACTCACTAAGGGATAGCTAATCAAAAAAGAAAAATAGAAAGAAGAAAAAAAACAAAAAGAAGGAAAGGAAAAGGAAAGAAAGCGAGAAAGGAAAACACAGAGAGAAAGAAGACTGTTAAATGGCAGTTTATCACTACAAGAGAATAATTTGGGGATATTCCATGCCAAAGGGGTTGATAACATTTGTACTGATGCACTTTCACGTGCTATGTAATTTTCTGATCATAAGGTCATTTGTATTGGTTGTGTTCTACACTGTAATTATTGAAGTTTGTAATCTTTTGGATAATGTATTATATTTAATTTATTGTTGTCAGTGTTTATGTATATAATATCTTAGTTAAAAATTGTCTAAGGCCAATTTTTAATTCTCTAATGAGGGAGTTGTAACGAATTTGTTATTATATTTATTTTTTTAATATCAACGTTTGTTTAGATTAAATTTATATTTAGAAACATACATAGGTTATACTCTTAAATATGTATTGCGAAACTCCCGTCTATTCTCCAAAGCTGTAGATGATTCTCGAGAGTAAGAATCAACAATATGTGTGTATGTAAACATTTGTGTTAGTGTCAGTATTGTTACGTAAAACTGAAATTTCTAGAAAACCTCCACACGCCTATAGATATAACCAACGCGACGCGCCAAAAAGAGTATCTATTATTAGTTTGCATAGTCAGTGTGCTATAAACTTTGGAAACTATGATTGCTATAACGCTTAGCAATCGGAAAACTTAAGATATTTGGCCAGTAGCATTTTCAAAGTTCGAACATTACAAATCATTTAACTTCAGTGGATTCACATTCAATCCTAACTCCCAATCCTTTGGTTCCTGCCCACTATTCAAGGACCAACAAAAAAAAGAGTAGCAAGTGGTTCACATATCCAATCTTTAACCTCCTTCAAAACCCTTGGGGAAATATCATCTGGCCCAGGAGCCTTACGGTTCTTTAAACTTCCCAATT